GTTCGGCTGTTAACCGAAAGGTTGGTGGTTCGAGCCCACCCAGGGACGTTCAGTTTTTATTTTTTTAATTTTTTCGGGGGTTTTTTTGTAATTAATGTGAACGTTATATAGACGCTGCAGAAGTAGCAACCTAATGAAGTATGCATTTAAATGTTCATATAGGGCTGGACGATATGGCCAAAATTTATATCAAATATTTCAAAATTGTACTGTTTTTGCTGTACTTTGGATCAAATAAATGCAGGCTTGGTGAGCAGAAGATACTTCTTTAAAAAAACCATAAAAATCGTACTCTTAAAAAACCTTTGACTGGTAGTGTAAGCTGATTATACTTCAGCCTACACTTCAGCCAGGATAAAGAGTATGAAGGTATGCTCGTCCAAACGAAGCTGTTGATCAACACGCATTGCTGTCGTTTTATCTGGCTAAACAGAATCGAACAATAATAAACAGTAATAAACTAAATGAAGAATGAAAAGAGAAGTATTCCTGTAGATCGCTTTCCGAGTGATTATAAGAACCTTTACCGGTCACGTGACAAGAAGTCACATGCCATCTCGCTTGCAAATGCTGTATTTGTGACTTTTTTAAGTATGGACTCGAATTCGTAAAACGCACACAAAAGTATGGAGTTGCTGCAGAAAACAAAAATTGAGCAACAACAAAAACGTTGCTGGAGACGGGCTTATTTTCCAGCCCTATGTTCATATATTTTGAGTACAAACTGAAAGGTCTGCAGTTGGTACTAGCTTTTTTTTTTTTACATGTCTTTCAAGTATAGACCTTTAAAACTGAGTTTGTTTGAAAGATTTTCAGTTTGATTTGATACTCCAAGCTTTTGCATTTTTATTCCTAATGATAGATATCAAATAGAGCATTGCAGTGATGACATTTTTACCGACAACCCAGAAGTTATGATCACCCTGGTTGCCTTAACAAAAATTACAATAGGATTTATCCATTGGCTTTTGGATTATTGTAGGCTCTGTGATAAAAAAAAAAGTAGATGAGTTTACCTGTTCAGCATGATGACATTTAATGTCCCCAATAACCTCTGTAGTCCTAGTAACAAAGGTTTTTAAAAAATCACAAGGGGGTATTACTGATGTATTTTATGTTGTAGAATAAGGTGTGAAAATATCTTGAGCTGTTAACCATTCAGAATACACATTCAGGGCAATGGAACCCATTTCTGGGTTTTGGCCTACAAAAATACATCATCTCTGCCACACTGTATATATGGACTGCTGACAAAGCTTCACTTGAAATAGACTAATACTTGGTGCAACAATCTGTAATATCATGCATCTTGCCAGGTAGACTTTTTTTTATCTTGAGCATGAAATACGGTGACAAAATGAACCTTAACAATTAGTCATTTATAATATGAAGAATTTATTATTCAATGTAGCTCATTTTTAAGGGCTGCTTTAAACATTATGAAAGAGCGACCTCTTGTGATATTGATATTGATGAATACTGATTTTTAAGCAAATTTATTTATTGGCTATTTTGCTTTATAACAAACAAACTGGCTTTAAACAAAAATATCTAGCCATTTGAAATTAGAGGCAACCACTGCATTTTAATCACGATCTGCACGGGCAGTTGTTTTTGATTTGATTTCGATTAATTTCAGGATTTAAAACAAAAACAGAATGGTCTGACTTTAGGTGTTAATTTATTTATTTGCTACATAAAACATCACCACGAAACAAAAACAGCAGGTCTGAATGAGACGCACTCTCTGACAGCAGGTGGCGCCTATGAACCGGGTTGCCAGGTTTTCGTAATAAAACTGTCCAATCACATTTCGAGGGGGGTCCTGTAAAAATCGCATTCCGGGGGTGTGATAAAGATCTACCAGTCGATCGCGATCGATGGGTTGGCGACCACTGGCTTAGGGTAACCAAAGTTAAAGGGTTAGTTCACCCAAAAATGAAAATTATCCTGTGTTTTACTCACCCTCTGGGAATCCTAGGTGTATGTGACTTTCTTCTTTCAGACGAATCTGAGTTATATAAAAAATTGTCCTGGCTCTTCCAAGCTCTATCATTGCAGTCAGAGGGTGTTTCTGTTCAACTGTCCACAAGTCATCAAATAAAGCACGCACATCCATAATAAAATGTGCCTCACACGGCTCCAGGGGCTGAATAAAGGCCTCCTGTAGCGAATCCTTGCATTTTCAAAAGAAAAAAAATCTATATTTCAAACATAATAACTTTTCTCTCACTTTAGGTATCTGTCATATGCGGAAGGCGTTCCGGCGGATGATGTAGGACGTATGCGCAGCGTGATTAGTAACGAATGCGGAGAAAGAACAAAACAAAACGCCGGTTATGAATTAGAAGTACATACTGAGGATTTGTAAAGAAAAATGTCGGAGGATTTCGATAT